AACGTGACTTATATCCCCTCATGAAACTGTTGCTAACAGTTGAGTATACCATTGTTCCAAAATCATATAAGAATATAACGTGACTTATATCCCCTCATGAAACTGTTGCTAACAGTTGAGTATACCATTGTTCCAAAATCATATAAGAATATAACGTGACTTATATCCCCTCATGAAACTGTTGCTAACAGTTGAGTATACCATTGTTGCAAAATCAGATAAGAATATAACGTGATTTATATCCCCTCGTGTAACTGTTTCTGATAGTTGAGTATACCATTGTTGTAAAATCAGATAAGAATGTAACATGATTTATACTCCATACGAAAATGTTGTTAATTGTTGAGTATACCACTGTTGCAAAATCAGATAGAAATATAATGTGATTTATACCCCATACGAAATTGTCGCTAACAGTTGATTATACCATTGTTGCAAAATCAAATAGGAATATAATGTGATTTATACCCCCATACGAAAATGTTGTTAATTGTTGAGTATACCATTGTTGCAGAAACCAGCATGTTTATTTGCTTTAAACAATTTAGATTTATTTGGATTTATACTTTGAAGAATTACATTGTCTGTAATATGGACTTTCGCGAGAGGCTATAGAAAGTTATTTGGCTTAGTTAGCTAAGCCTAATATTTTATGTACGATGTATAAGGTTAGGCGATGTTATTTACGAAAACACCTCTCAGAACAATGATTCATCGCCCGTAAAAAAATATTGCTATGTGTTTTACGTGTTAAGGAAAATCAAATATGTTTATCAACAACAACCAAAATAAAAGAATAAACTCTCTCTCATGTTACGAACAAGATGTTTTTATTCCTATTCATCACAGGTAGCAGTCTGATACTTTCCTGAAAAAAAAAAGAAATCAGACCACGTTTTCAGAAATATTACTATTTTGTAAGATGAAAGAGAAATAAACAGATGCCATATTTCAAGTTCAACATGTTTATATCGCAAGATAAATTAGAAGTAAAAAAAGTGAAACATTTACCTTCGTTTTTCCCGCACATTACAATCTCATCTTAGTTATTACAGCTCAGTAGGTGATGGCTGGTGTACAAACTTAAGGTGTATTCTTCGCAGACCGTATGTACTTTACGTGATAAACTACGACAATTAGGCCTAATTTGGGGCAGCAGGGTGCTGTGCTTTGTACTGGAGCTATTACACGGCCAGATGGACTACGTTCTCTGGACTGCAAGAATAGAAAACCCCATACCTCACAAGATGTATGTTGTTTTTTTTTAACCTTGCTTTACTAATCACAGCTACACCGTTACCTGGTTACGCTTCATGATCATAAAAAGAAGCTGTTCTCACTATAAAAAAAATAAGTAAAATTTCCATATGTAATAAGTTATTTCCAACCAAAATCCTAATTTAATTTCGATTATTTTTTTCTGGATCAAAGTTTTCAATAGTTTTATACATAGCTTGTCTGTGCATAGTAAACTTCTTAAAAATAAGCGTAATGGAATGTGTGTTTTACATAGAAGCAGAGTTCCATCACTCAAAATAATTGTAAGAAAAATTGATAGTAATGTTAGAAATTGTTACTTCCAAGTTTGTCGTAAATAATTGTCTCAAGCTCACACGCATCTTTTTGAAGCAAATTGCAGAATGATTTTTACTTGTTGTTAAACAAATGTTTAAGTGTTCTAGACGCGTTAAAATTTCTAGACCAATGTTCATATTCAAAATAATTTGTAAAAAAAGACAAAATGTTTTCTACTGAACATATCTTTGAGACCAGCATATGTGTATAACGTTATACCCACAATTATTATCATCATGAAATTTAACGAACATGTTTTGGAGTCGTGGTATACCAATAGATTGCTAGCAGCCGACTCCAAAACATGTTCGTTAAATTTCATGATGATAATAATTGTGGGTAAAACGTTATCGATGATCCATATAACCTCTGTTTGAAAGAAATGCAGAAAGTTATATGTGTCATAAACGTACTGTTTTAAGAACGTTTTTAGACCAGTTAAAGCTTGGAATGTTTTAATGCGCAAGTAATTCAACCCGAGTTTTTAAAATTTTATACCTCGGCTCCAAAACATGTTCGTTAAATTTCATGTTAATAACAATTGTGGGTATAACGTTATCGGTGATCTATTTGCTGCTAGCAACCTATTGGTATACCACGACTCCAAAACATGTTCGTTAACTTTCATGATGATAATAATTGTGGGTAAAACGTTATCGATGACTCATATGCTGCTAGCAAGCTATTGGTATACCGGTAATTTTTATTCCAGTTTGACACTTTGCTTAATGGGTATATGTAAGATTTTTACTTATTTTCTGGATAGTTGATACCTTTAACTATAGATATAAACTGTGTTGATAGGGATATGACTAGCACTACCGTTGAGTAGATATTGCTCCAACAATGTGATCTAGAATGTGTCACTTTCTTATTAGAAAGCACCTATAATAATTATTATAGGTGCTTTCT